ACTTGTTTATGCTACATTGTGGGGACCAAATGTCCCCACAAGGATACTCAAACCTGAATTTTTGACATTGTGGGGACCGGCCTGCGGTTTAGGGTTGGGTTAGGGGATAAAAAATATTGTTTGGTCAGTATAAAAGTAGTAGAAGTCTATGGAAATAATTCACAGAAACAAGTGTGTGTGTGTGTGTGTGTGTGTAACATTTAATTTTAAGGATCTATTCTCACTATTAACTAGCACTGATATTAATGCCTTATTCTGTATGACCATATTTTAGATTGGTTACAACTGGTTATTACCTCAATTTATTAATATAGTTTTTCTATATGAGATTCTATAAACAGATATGTAAGTACAGTTGTCTTATTTAAATGACCCTGAAAAATACCCTGTAAAAATTGCACAGTATATTCATATGCAAGAGTATAAAATGTTAAGGCATCTGGCCATTAATGACCGTTAATAAAGGGTCAAAGAGAGGGTGGCAAAGGTCATAAAAACATAACAATGACATAAAACAGCTTACATAAAGTTATTGAAAAAATATATGATATGACCTATTATGGTTTATAACTGACTTTTGTTTTGATGTTTTGAGATATTTAGTAGTCATTTACCTTAGCATATCCAAGCATGATCATCCTCACAAGCACAACATTAATGTGCACTCCCAATGATTCATCATGGTAGATCTCATTCACCTGTTAACACATGATGAAAAAATATTTATTATCTCCTAAACTCAACATACATGTAATAAAACAACAAAACACTGATCCTGGCACAAAGGGGGGAAAAGGATATCAGGCAAGGGATACAAGTTGCGTCATTCTCCACCTAGTCATCTATGACAGCTATTGATTTTATCAACTCCAGGGACTGCAAAAAACAAACAATGCTGCTTCATCCCATTTCCAAACCCTCACCATGACTGACAATGAGCAAGAGAACCAAAGATTTTTCTACAACAGCATCAAGATAAAGAGAGCAGGAGGAAATGGGATCTCAGACCCGTAAGAGTGACTTTCTAAGGCACAGAAGGCGTTTTTAGACAGGCTTTGGGGCTACGGTTGGCATGGAAAAGCCTATGAAAGGTTGGTAAATGAAAAGAACCCAGTGTTGAGCTGGTCATACAGAGGCCTTTTAAAGGTTCAGATGTTTTTCCTTCCCCACCTAAGAGGATGCTGTGTGGGGTGCTGTGTTTTGGAGGCACAGTTTTGCTGGTTGAATGCAGGGCGTAGTGCTATATCAAATGACTATATCCTAAATGGTACAAATGTTTCATGAAAACTTTCTAGAGCTATTTACAAAAACTGGACACATGTAACCGCAGGTTTTCTTGCTGTGGTGCCGATATAATATATTAAAATTATATAACAAATAACTGATATAATAATTAAACATTTTGAAGTTCTGGTGCAAATAACTAAACATTTTACTGTGGTTCTCTTGACATTGACACCAATTGACCAAGTTAAGCAGTTTCTAACATATGATTCTGTAAACAAAAAGTTCAGGTTGTCCTGATCTTCTGTACGGCAGAGGGGAGACAACTGTGGTGGATCTAAAAGCACATCTGTGTTTAATTTGTGCCGAAATCTCTTCTCTTGTAAAGAGTGTGAACAATCAGAGGGAGCATTATGTCCAGGCATGCTGGAGATCTGCCATATGATCACTTTGTTCTGCCATACTGCACTGGAAAAATAATCACCATTTTAAATAATAATAATAATACAATTTTATATTTGATATATGTACTGTATGTACTTTTTGTACACTGTTGCTTAAAGTCCCTAAAACACAATCAGCCAACTAAAGCACGTAATAAAAAAGAGAAGTATAATAAAAACAAAAATTTGTTCTGACAGTGTCCCCCTAAAAATGCACTGCAAACATTTTTTTTTCACCTTAAACCTTGCAGAGGCTGTCAGATCTGCTACAAACTCTGCACTCAGGAGGGAAAGGTGAGAAAAACCAATTATGTCGCAGAAAAAACTGTACTTTTATATGCATGTTTGGACAGCTTTTAAAAGAAGGGGAGGGGCACAGAAAGAAAAATTATGCCTCAGCAGATCTGTGTTGCTGTAGTGATTTGTTGTAGGGAGCAACAAAAAAAATGTACCCGTGCGAATGATTAAATTGTTCACTGGCATATGAACACAGATTACCTTGACGCTCTAAATCAGCAGAGAGCAGTAAGTCTCTTACCAACTGCCCCCTCTCTTCTTCCCAGCCATCTCATGAAATTAAACAGAAGTTCTGTTTGATGCAGAAAATTGTCCTCTTCAGGCAACAGGGCTTTAAATAAGCATGCAAGGGGCCTAATCAAAGACGTCTGCATGTGTGAATGTGTGAAAGTTGTAGCAATGTTGCATTTTTATACCAAACTCATATCTTAAAGATCAAACCCACTCCAGTTTAGGGAGGAAAAATCAATGTGCATACAGAAAAATAGCAAATAGGTGAATGAATGAATGAATGAATGAATGAATGAATGAATGCAAAAAAACTGAATCTCAGACCCACAAGAGTGGCTTTCAGAGGCATAGAAGGCATATTTGGACAGGTCTTAGGGCTATGGTTGGCATAAAAAATTAAAAGTTAATAAATAAATAAATGTAAACAAACAAATAAATAAACAACACTGATTTTATTTATTTATATATTATGTGTCCTGGGCAAACCATCACGGTATTATCTGTATGTGCAGGTATAAAACATCCAACGTTACTGACATCAGGGCAGAGATTTCTGTCCTGTGGTATACTTATGAGTGAAAGGAGAAGGGAATTGTGGGTACTATTGATGGGCCAATCATTAGTCAGGTTTTATCATTATCATTTGATAGTCTTAATTTTATAATAGGTGCAAGTTGATGAGGCTACCATAAACATATATGGTATATCTGCATATAAAAGGTCAAATGAGGACTTCCCCCTCTTCTTGTCTAGTTGGTTAGTCATGTCTCTCTTTTGTGATGCCTGTAGCTCAATGAGATTAAGTTAGGAGTCATATCTTCATTGTGATTGGTTGATCAGGGACCAATCAGTGACCAGACATTGCTCATATTATGAAAACATAAAATTGTATTGGTTTAAACAAAAAATCATGTGATGTCCATTTCAATGGACGCAAGGGGTTAAACATTATAGTGTACATTTCATCAAAGCACTGGTGAACAGGGCAGCAGGGACACCTACTGGAGAAAAGACTTCTGAAATAAGTAAACGTATTTGTAAACTTTACAAGTGCATATTCATATTTCAATATTCATCTATATTCATGCTCAAATACCCCACATTTTGTCTGTGCCCTGTTGTGTGCCACAAGCAAAACAACACCTCCACAAAACAAAGTAGAGCATTTCTTTATATATAGTTGACATTAATGCTTGCAAATTGTTCAAGCGAAACTAAGGGTTGGTTGCACTTGATCCTGTTACATTTTGCAATCAATAGAAGGGCAACATGAATACTTTAGGCATAAAGAGCTTACAGGCATTGTGTGTGTCTACAGTTGAAGCCCATAGTATATATGCTAAATCTCTAAAACCTGATGAGTGATGCTATTATCTACACAGATTACCCAGAGCATCTGTGGTATGTTTCATAGCTCTCCTCAGAATAGCACCATTTACTAAATGAGGAATACGTCAATCTTGTAGACATAATGGGGTCCTCTGTTTTAACAAAGGAGATTCAATTTGTGTCTTGTGAAAGCCTTAGAATGTGCTTTTCCTCCCAAAACAGAAAATGTCAGAGACATGACCACATCTGGACAATTTCACGCCTCATACAAGGTCACTCTCTTTACAGATGCAGCTTAATGGCATATTTGCGTATAAGCAAACATTGACTGCTGCCATCCACTTTCTGTAGTCTGGCAGAGAGGTGTTTTGTCATCAGTAAATTGTCTTGAAATGAATTCCTAAAATAAGGACACTTAGGCACCTGTGCCTTCAATTTACCTGCATGTCAGAGGACTGAGTCAGGAGGAGAGTTAATACGTTTAATGAGGAGGAAAAGAACTGATTGCTCAACAATAAAGATGGCATTATGGTCAGAGAGTTTTGGGACAGTTGAGGGGATTTGGGGGATATAAATCTAGCAGTCCAAATGTGCTCAAAATTTGGAAATGTGTTTTCTTGGAGTTTTATAAAATATTTTTGAACAAAAATGTAAATAATTTTAATAATAAAAAATTATAATATTAATAATATTATCAATATTAATAATATTAAAATTAATATGATGGTAACACTTTAGCATAGGGACCAATTCTCACTATTAACTAGTTGCTTATTAGCATGCCTATTATTAACATATTGGCTGTTTATTAGTACTTATAAAGCACATATTCTGCATGACCATATTCTACATCCAGAAAAGACTTCTGAAATAAGTAAACGTATTTGTAAACTTTACAAGTGCATATTCATATTTCAATATTCATCTATATTCATGCTCAAATACCCCACATTTTGTCTGTGCCCTGTTGTGTGCCACAAGCAAAACAACACCTCCACAAAACAAAGTAGAGCATTTCTTTATATATAGTTGACATTAATGCTTGCAAATTGTTCAAGCGAAACTAAGGGTTGGTTGCACTTGATCCTGTTACATTTTGCAATCAATAGAAGGGCAACATGAATACTTTAGGCATAAAGAGCTTACAGGCATTGTGTGTGTCTACAGTTGAAGCCCATAGTATATATGCTAAATCTCTAAAACCTGATGAGTGATGCTATTATCTACACAGATTACCCAGAGCATCTGTGGTATGTTTCATAGCTCTCCTCAGAATAGCACCATTTACTAAATGAGGAATACGTCAATCTTGTAGACATAATGGGGTCCTCTGTTTTAACAAAGGAGATTCAATTTGTGTCTTGTGAAAGCCTTAGAATGTGCTTTTCCTCCCAAAACAGAAAATGTCAGAGACATGACCACATCTGGACAATTTCACGCCTCATACAAGGTCACTCTCTTTACAGATGCAGCTTAATGGCATATTTGCGTATAAGCAAACATTGACTGCTGCCATCCACTTTCTGTAGTCTGGCAGAGAGGTGTTTTGTCATCAGTAAATTGTCTTGAAATGAATTCCTAAAATAAGGACACTTAGGCACCTGTGCCTTCAATTTACCTGCATGTCAGAGGACTGAGTCAGGAGGAGAGTTAATACGTTTAATGAGGAGGAAAAGAACTGATTGCTCAACAATAAAGATGGCATTATGGTCAGAGAGTTTTGGGACAGTTGAGGGGATTTGGGGGATATAAATCTAGCAGTCCAAATGTGCTCAAAATTTGGAAATGTGTTTTCTTGGAGTTTTATAAAATATTTTTGAACAAAAATGTAAATAATTTTAATAATAAAAAATTATAATATTAATAATATTATCAATATTAATAATATTAAAATTAATATGATGGTAACACTTTAGCATAGGGACCAATTCTCACTATTAACTAGTTGCTTATTAGCATGCCTATTATTAACATATTGGCTGTTTATTAGTACTTATAAAGCACATATTCTGCATGACCATATTCTACATCCCTAATCCTACCCAACACCTAAACTTAACGACTATCTTACTAACTAAAAATAAGCAGCAAATTAGGAGTATTATGAGGCAAAAGTCGTAGTTAATGGTTTGTTAAATGACGAGAATTGGACCTTAAAATAAAGTGTGACCAATATTATTAATAACCCTGTATTATGCTTGCAATGGCCCCCGTCACAGGAAAAAAAAAGTAAAAATGTATATAGATTACTTAATTTACTTTATTTTATACATAATACTGTAAATATATAATATAAATATAATATTGCAACTAATATTGTAAAACTAACACCCAGCAAATACATCCAATAAATCTTCCTGTTGAGCCCTGCTAAGGACGATGGGATACTCACAATGTTCATTAGGGTGAGGAGATAGTTCTGCACATGCTCTTTCCCATGGAAACGGACAACAGTATCATCTACTCCAAGCAGCACCTCAATGTTGTAGTCATCATCACCAGTGTGTCTCCGTCTCCTGACTGTCCGGTTGACTTGTTTAGCAATACTATCCAGCACCCTTGGCGCATCCAATTCAGGCTCTGCAAAACAAAATTATTAGGCTCAAGACAGCACCTTATCTTCATCATTTGGCAACAACAACATATTAAACAGAAAAAAGTCATCTTTGCATTATGATGAACTAGCGTCTTGCAAGTTTTTTTCACAGAGTGCAAGTGGATGCCAGCCAAGAACCACAGAAAGCAATCCAAACAAGGGCTCTTCATGATCCAACATCAATCCAGGCTATGAACCAATGTCTTTTTTAAACGCTGATGCTAAAATAAATATTTCAAACATCTTGCTCTCTGGCTGGCTCTGGTCTACAGTGTAGGGATTGTGAGGAACATTCCTCAGCTCCTACATCCCGTCATGACACACGCATTCTTGTGTGGCCCAGATCCCAGAAGAGTAAACACGTCTCTAAAGTTCCACTTCAAAAGGCACAGGGCTTCCCCTCAAGCTCAGACATGCCATGTGTCCCTTTGCAGGTTCCCCGGTCCACAGCATCTCCATGCACACCCTCATTCTCCTGAGGGGCTGTCATTCACATATGGCAAAGTGAGGATAGCACACACATGGCAAACCTGCCTAACCCGCTGGCCTCAATTCTAAAAATTACTTTTGATGGCAAATGAGACCATCCAGATCACCAGTGGAAATCTACCATGTCTAGACTGCAAAATGGAGCCTCACTGCAGCCAATAAAAGTGCAAGGTTATACGCTCTGAGGCTCAAAATGTGTTACTCCAGAAACCTTTCCACATTGGAAATGTGTTTGTTTCGGCTTCATGAAAACAAAAGATATTTTTAAAATATTGGTAATCAAAGTTGTGGTGCCTATTGACTTCCAATGTAGGTACAAAAACACATTTCTCTAAATATTTTATTGTATGTTCCACAGAGTCAGACAGATTTGCAAAGACGAGTAAATAATGAGAGAATTTTCATTTTTGGGTGAACTATCCATTTAAGGAGATGATGTGTATATATTTAAATGGATAGTTCACCCAAAAATGAAAATTCTGTGATTAATTGCTCACCTTCATGTCGTTCCAAACCCATAAGACCTTCGTTCATGTTCGGAACACAAATTAAGATATTTGTGATGAAATCCAAGAGCTTTCTGACTCTGCATATACAGCAAGGCATCTACCACATTCAAGTCCCAGAAAGGTAGTAAGGACATCGTTAAAATTGTCCATGTGACATCAGTGGTTTAACCTTAAGTTTATAAAGCTATAAGAATACTTTTTACTTTTTCTGCGCAAAGAAAAAAACTATTTCTTCTATTCCGTCAGTCTTCGTCGCACGTTCACGGCAGTACCACAAAGCATGCATGTGCATTCGTCTGATTGAAAACAAGGCGCAACATGTCTTGTACGTCAGAACGCCGGCTCCTGCGTCAGCAGCATCACACTCATGTGGTACTCTTGTGAATGCATTCTGACTGACACAAAACAATTATTTAATAAAGTTGTTATTTTTGTTTTCTTTGCACACAGAAAGTTTTCTCATAGCTTCATAAAATGAACTACCACTACTAACTACCACATTCAAGGTCCAGAAAGGTAGTAAGGACCAGTGTTAATTTTGACAGCAAATTTTTATTTAGTTTTAGTCATAGTCTTTTGACTAAAATGCCATTCAGTTTTAGTCATATTTTAGTCACCTGAATTGTTTTTAGTTTTAGTCGACTAAATATCATAAGATTTTATTCGACTAAATATACAGTACATTTAGTCGGCTAAAATCTAATGGGTTTAGTTACAGTGTAATGCATTTATTAAGCATTTCTCCAAAATTTCCAAACTCATTATATAGATTTGATATTAAGGTTTTATCATGATAGACATGATTTTCTGTCTTTCTTTTGTTGCATGATTAACATCAGTGACTCGGACAATAGCAACTAAATTAGGCTGCGATCCCTTTAAAACGAATGCACAGCTGCAATGGGTGCAATGTACTGATCCACGTTCTCCCTGCTGTTTACGTTCACTTAAGACGTAATCAACTGTGTTTATGTGAATTCTCGTCAAAACGGACAAGTCGACATCATTTTGTGTATAATTCTCAGTTCATGCGACACGAACGGGTACTCGTGCGCTGTGAGACGCGCTTTCTGTGTGTGTATGCTTCAGTGTCTGCGCTCAGAAAACCAGACCGAATTGAGCTCTCTCTTGCATCGTCAGATTTATCTATATGTCTGCTCTTCTCTTACTCCCACATATTGACATTTTTGAACGTTTTATGCGACGTGCAGCAAGTGTATTTTAGCTTATGTCCCACCGGTTCATATGTACGCATCTAACCGCCTAACTATGCAGCAGATTTGTTCTGAATGAATCTCTTCCCAAATTGTCCCTCCCTAACATTCTCATCTCGTTTTTATTCGTTTTATTCGTTTGTCATTCAAAAAGAGTTTTAGTTCGTTATCGTCGGTGAAAAAATGTTGACAAAAATTATGACGAATATAATTCATCAACGAAATTAACACTAGTTCTCACAT